ACCATGCCAGGCATCATGTTTTTCAAGCACATATTTCATTTTTCTATAGTTGCTAACCCAGTAAATGACGCGTTTAGGTTGACTATTGCCACACATTCCCTTGAAGTCTCTGCCCATTCCCTGTAAAAGGCTTGAGAATTTACTAAATACCACGAGTATGGTTTTTCTAGACCGTTCGTGTGCACCTTTTCATGCACCTATTGTTTGGATTTGAATTATGTGGATTAATGCCTAAAAATGCGCGCAATCCCCTAATATGGTAAATGAGCCCGAAAAAATGCCAAAGTTGAGCATGTTGCATTCGAGGGGGTATGTTGATTGTAGAAAAAACTGAATGACAAGCTAGGAAGGAAATTTGGATTCCCGACCCCTTCAATATTGCTGATTCCCCTCGAAACCATGAATTTTCCTTGGTGATGGTTCGATTTATGAATGGCGTGCATGACGACTTAAGACAAACATTCTCAATTTTTTACCAGGGCATGGTGAGGCCATACCATGGCACCATGCGAGGGGTCATATTTTCCAAGTATGTATTTCATTTTTGTATAGTACCCAGTAAACACATTTCCTTGAAATATCTGTCCATTCCTTGTAAAAGGCATGTGAATTTACTAAATAGCACGACCATGGTTTTCCAGACCGTTCTCGTGCACCTTTTGAAGCATTGATTGTTTGAATTTGAATTATGTGCATTAATGCCTAGAAAATGCACATAATCCCCTAAATATTGTAAATGAACCCGGAAAAGTGCCAAATTTGAACGCGGTGATTAGCAGGGTTTATGTTCATCGTATAAAAAACTTCATGGACAAAGGACAAAGAAATTTGGATTCCCATTGAATCTCGGTGATTTACTATCGCACACGATTCATCTCCATCGCCTCTGCGAACCGTGTGTGTTCACTCAGACATGCAAAAGGAAAAACAAAACCCTCGCCCCCTTCGTCCCCACCCACTCGCCACGGACTCCTCCGCAACTCTCCACCTCATCAACTTCTATCGCAGCGGCCACCCTAAGCTCGACGACGCTGTTGTCGGCGGGCGGATGTCGCGCTCCAAACGGCACGGGATTTCGCCCCTACCGCTTTTCGCCGCCTATCTACACCGACATTCTAGAATCTAGTCGACTGGGGTTTTCTGCGGGATTGGGCTGGGGATTTTTCTCATGGAGAAGGTAATCAACTTAGTGAAACATTCACTCATCTCTTATCGTAGTCCGTCCATCGCTGTTCGTGGGTGTTCATTCATGTGTCCACAGTGCAAGCACAAATCGGGCAAGTGTGGTCGCGGCTAGTCGAAAACGAAGTTCTATCTCACCATTCCAGATGACTTCAGGGAGCGCTCGGTATGTTCAATCTCAACCTACCATAGTCGGCATGGCCTAAATTTGTGAACATATACCGTCTATTGCTACATTATCTATATATTTGCATCAAATCTTTGTTACATTATCTATTTTTAATTATATATTTTTGTACTTTGCTTTCATCTATATATTGCTCTGTTCTATCGGTTACTACCACATTTGCATCTTGCTCTGTTATTTCAATATATCTAATTTACTATCTTAATTTTCATTTCAAGCAGTACATTCCTTGCTTTGCAAGAACATCAATAGAAGGAAATCTTAGGCTTTACTTTGTTAATGACTTCCAGGGTGTCATATTGACACAGCATGGACATACAATGATGGTTAGCGTAAAACTTGATAAAGATGGTCACTCCTATTTTAATGCGGACCTTTAAAGAAAAATATCTAAGTGTTATGAACTAAAAGCTGGCAATAAAACTCTAGTGCGTGCACCATAGTCTGGCCTAATTAACATGGATGTTTACTTCCCCAACGTCATCAGCCGATGAAAGTCTGATCGAGGTTAGTGTCCTTTCAACTTTCTCCATGTTGTCATATTACTTAGCAAAATCGGGGTATTTGTTCTGACTAATTGATCACTATTTAAGCAAACAATTGTGATTTCATTTTCTAACTCCGTTCCTAGGCAGTAACAAATTCTATTTACCAAATTATGTGCATTATATATTCTTCTGCCATGTTCGAAATAAATAATACCTTTCTACCTTTTAAGCAGGATATGTTGGATGCATAGTGAACGATCTGTATGTTACTAAGCGTACCAAATTTCACTAGAAGGACTTGAAGCATGTCATAAACTTTGTTGATAATCTGACAGAGATAGCATAGCGTATGAACGCTGGATTTTGGATGGGATTAATTATACCTATGGTGCACACATTGAACAAGACCAATTGTGTGCACAAAACGCTGGTAAAAAGTCTTATTTTAATGTTGATGCTCATAAACTATATATATCTCCAACGATATGTTACAATTGGTTTTTATTCTACATTTCAACAGAAATTACCCACTATAGCAGTTCCTGATTCGATTTCCCGGCCTGGTCGAATTACACTTGTGCCTGCTAATAACACCAAAGTGATTGCAAGGTACTGCATCTCCCGCAGAAATGGAACCATTCAAATTAACAAGTTCTCGCTTGTCGTGGCAATGCATCCATATTGGAAAATTGGAGACACTGTTCTACTCATGCTGTACCAAGGCACATGAGGGCTCTTCCTTTTCATTGACGAGATGCCGAGTCACTATGATCAAGCTGCTTCCAGCGGATAGTTGTGGTTGTTGGCCCTCATCCTCTTAAAATGTGCTAGCTGTTACTATGTTAAGTATGTAGATATGGACCATATGGTTGTTGGCCGTTAGCCTCTTAAAATGTGATAGTTGCTATTATGTTAAGTATCTAGATATGGACCATATGATTGTCAAAATCGTGTTACGATGATCCTCCTTTTGTCAAATAGTGTAACCACTATATATATGTTACTCAAATGCTGTTAGCCAAGTTCTCAAATTTTCATGGAAAGTATTAGTATCGTACACAGTTCTTTAAGTTTAAGCATGTGCCCGATGTCCAGAAGGCATTTGCATATTAACTGTCCATATTGCAAATTCACACACATGTTAACATAAGGAAATGTATGTGTAACTTACTAATCATCGCACACGAGTAATAGCAGACGCATCATGTGCGATACTCCTAGCCACTGCAAGTAACTAGTTTGCATTTCAAAGTTTTTTGTAGACACAGAATCGCACACGAACTTACTGTATTAACCATCTGTGTTGTAATTTCTCATCGCAAACAGTTCATCCGAGTCGGCTGTTTGCCACATATCACACACATCTTGTTTACAGGTCTCATTTGTTTTCTTTTGTCTCATCGCAAACAGTTCATCCATGTGAACTGTATGCCGCATATCACACACATCTTGTTAAGTTGAACCGTTTCTGTTGTGTTCCTTAATCAATAACAGTTCGTCTGAGTAAACCGTATGCCGTATATCACACACACCTTAATCTGGCTAACCGTTTTGGTTACACTTCCTAATAGCAAATAGTTCATCGGAGCGAACTGTATGTCATATATCGCACACACATTGATATGGTTGTCCGTTTCTGTTGTTTTGCCTCATGGCAAACAATTCGAATGGACTAACCGTGTGCTCTGCATCGCACACGTAACAAAAATCTGAACCGTGTTTGATAGCTCCGCCATTGCAAACGTTTTGCACCTTTTTTGACGGTTCTTTTACACCACCGGGTCTTTGATCGTAGTGACGCGTTAGCAGCAACCTGCAGTAGTGAAGATATAACATAGCTTGTCACCTTTTGCCGAGTTAAGGACCACTCCAGCCCCCGCGCCAGCTAGCATTTCGGAACCATCAAAGTACATGATCTAGTGAGAAGGGGCGGCGACCAAGATGACAGAGAGGTTCGAGGACATCTTGGTGAAGAATGAGGAGGCATGTGTCAAGCGCTCCGACACCAAAGAGGCATGTAAGAATGATAAGTTTAACATCTTGATCACGGCGACCGATAAGAAGCTCAAGCTTGAAGAGAAAAAGACCAAACTCGAAGAGAAGAAGGTTGAGATCGTAGCCCCTTCGGAGGATTCAAAGATGTGGACCTTGCAGATGGAGGAGTTGGATGAGGATGCAAAGATGATCGTGCAAGCTGACCATCTTAGGATGTTAAAGCGCTTGAAGAATCAGCTGAAGACGGCGGAGAAGGAGGCGGCCGAGAAGGAGGCGGTCTAGAAGAAAGCGGATGGCGAGGAGAAGGTGGTGGCGGCAGAGTGAGCTTAGAGGCTCGGATAGCCGGTCTGGCAGGGAAAAATCCATATGCCAAACTGAGATTCTTTTGTGATTGGGTATGCAAACACTATGCATTTTTGGCTCTTTTTGGTTGTGATTGGACGCTATGCATTTGAAATTCAAATTGCCGGTATCTAGGCAGACGTTTACCTGTCCACGGACATATACAATGTCCGATTTAGGAGCGAGGGGATGCCCTAAACCCGGGCAAACGTCGGGCCAGGCCGGGTTTCGGGTCGGGCTTGTAAAAGCCCGACCTTCATTTCCCAAGCCCGAGCTCGGCCCGAAGCCCGAAATACTCCCTGTTTTCAAGCCCGAGCCCGGCCCGAAATCAAGCCCGAAGCCCGAAAGCCCGGCCCGAAATACATAAAAAAATGAAGCCCGAGCCCGGCCCGAACTATCTTCCGGGCTGCAACACAAGGCCCGAGCCCGGCCCGAACTATCTTCCGGGCTGCAACACAAGGCCCGAGCCCGGCCCGAACGTCAAGCCCGACCCGTCCCGGCCCGGGTTTTTCGGGCCGGGCTCGGGCCGGGTCGTCGGGCCGGGGTGCCCATGCCCAGGTTTAGGATGCCCTGTAGGTGTCTGCAAGCATTGCTCTAGAGACACGCTACAGCAGCACTGTTTCTTTTTCATGGGCATATTGTAGTTATGTTAGATTTGGGTACTGGCAGACGGCAATTAATGGAACCTCGTCTCCACGACCACATCAAAGAACAAATTAACACATTAATTGCACACACTCACAAGGTGACCTATATATAAGAGCACGGCCTTCATCCTGGGCTAGCCTTGCTAGTTCATACTTATTTCATAGCAGTCCGAGCTGCACAACCGCGGCACAAACCAGAGCAAAGCTAGCCCACGCCGCCGGCGCGAGCCCGGCGGCGCCATTGTACGAGTAGAACGGCATGGTGCCCGGGGTCACCGGTGTCAGCGGCGTCGCGCCAGGCGTGGTGCCCGTGCACGCTGGAGACGTCGGCGTCGTGTATGGCGTTGTAGGGGTCGTGTACGGCGTGGTCGGCGTCGTCGTCGTCGGGGTCGGGCTCGTGTACGGTGTGGTCGGGGTGGGCATCGGCGTTGTCGGCGAGGAGCCAGAGCCGGAGCCGGAGCCGGATACGGTCACCTCGAGCTTCATGCCGCCAGCGCAGTGGCCTGCGATGGTGCAGATAAAGTAGTGCTTTCCGCCGGTCTTGAGGGGCACGGTGGTCGCGCCGCTGCCGTCGGAGCCGACCGCGTTGGCCGCCGCGCACGCCAGGTAGTCGGCCGCGCTCACCTCCGCCACTGTGTGCAGGCCCTTGGCGTAGTTGAACACTAGAACAGGGCAGACACATGTTAAACCATAACCAGTCACATGATTAACGGCACGTATGTACTCACGAAGAAACTAAAAGTCTTACCGAGACTGTCGCCGACTTTGAAAGTGTTGCCACTGGCCCAGGTGGTGTAGTCGACGCCGATCGTCCAGCCGGACTTGCCACCGACGGTGAAGCTGGTGGCGGCCGCCGGGAAGGCACGGGCGACGAGGAGCAGCGCCACCAGGGCCCAGCAGGAACCGGCGCCGGAAGCCATCGTGACTGATAGACCAAACCAAGATGAACCGTAAATCTTCTCTCAGGTGCTAGCTTTCGTTAACAGAGGAGATATGATATGCTGCTGCGTTGCACTTGGATGAGAAGAAGAGACGCGGGAAACGTGGCGCTTATATAACAGCATCGACCGCAACGTGCAGTTGGTGGGCAATGGGCTTTCTTTTCACCGGGTGTGCGGGAACGAATATATATGTCGAGCAACTTTACCTATGAGGAAATGCAATGAAAATGCTTTTGCTTTTATATGCTAATTATTGAACGGCTGGCCCTGTTCATGCCAACAACCGATCAGATTTCCATGATGGTGTTGCAAAAGGCATGTTCCCATCATGATGAAAGGACTACATCAAATCCCGTGTATTCATAAACATTTGGTGATCAGCTCGTTTAATTTGAACCACCTAGCTCGATCTTTTTACTAACAATTCTTTCTAACAGAAAAAAAAATCAGATGAAAAAAATATCTGAGTCCACTAGAGGACTAGACTACACGACTTTTTATACTTGTAGTTAAAATTTGCGGGTGGTCAAAGTATTCTCCAACCATGAATCAGAACGGGTGGCCCTGATTGCACTTCACCTGTTCTTTTACAGGATGCCCTGCTAGGAGATACGCATATATCAATTAGTGACACCTTTGTAGCTTTGAGGCCGGCTATTCCGTCCTTTTTAGGTGCGGCTTCTTTTCACATGATATATACTAGCAATCGGCTAAAGTGAAGTGAATCTAGTTGTGTGCGCGGCCGGGCCAGCCGGCCGGCCGATCGACCCGACGGCGTTGTGGAATCTGATTTACCCCTTCACATGGAGATCGGGTCATATCGGCTAGCCAGACCACCTAACCTTCGGACAACGACTTCACACTGGCAGCTTGCGTACGTTTCAAGGTGGCGAGAGTAGACACAGTTTGTCTCCTGTGAGTGAAATGGGATCATTTAACTTGCTTAGACGTCGGATCTCTGTGATTTTGAGGTGAAATGAATCGATCGAATGAGTGGTTAGGCAACAACGACGGAACGGTCGACGCGTGCATCATTCAGGATGGCGTGAGCCGGAACACGGCTGCTGTTGGATGCATGAGTGCATGACGACGAGATTAGACCGTGATCCGGACCATTGACATCCAACAAACTAGTACTATACCGCCCCTCAAAAAAAAAACTAGTACTATACGGATGATGGGGGAGAAACTGCCGCTCGCCTACCGAGCATGGCCGTGCAGGTTTTGCACGACGGGGAATCTACGCGAGCAGCAGATTGGACTGATCATATCATATGTACAGGGTGCCTACCGACATCGTGCTATACTACTACTCCAGAGATTGTGGCCCAGGCGCGGAACCGCGTCTGCTTTCTGAACCGCGCTGGTCCTAGGTTCCTTTTGATTTGAGGTTCACACACTCCGGATCACGGGGCTTTGGGTTTGCACGCAGCCTCGATCCCGGCCAGCGAGGCGGCCGGTCGGCGCCGTCGCCGTGGTCGCTTTAATTTCCTGCCCGCTTCCGGTGCCGCGGGTTCCGCGCGCGGCCGGAGCAAAGGTCGGCGGCAGGGCGGACTACATGGGAACACGTCGGCCCTCGCGGTCGCGGGCGGCACGGGCCGAGCTAGCGCGGTTTCACTGCAGGCGATTAGACAAACACGCTTGCGCACTACTGCAGATTAAAATCGATTCACGGAGGTGAGCACCAAAGTCCTATGGCTACTCATATGTCAAGAGATTCCTATCAGATCTTGAGCTATCCAATCCAGTTATGTCTGAGCCGACCCCACGTGTGGTGCAAAGAACGAACCCCGGCTCGATCCTGGTTACCACCTCCCAGCGGCACATCTGATGATCCTGTTAGACTAAGTATATAGTAAATATACGTGTTGTAACATAACCTGTATTTGTACGGTTTCCTCTTATAAATATATGACAGCCGTGCCCACCAAGGACATCGAGCATTGTTCCAAACCCTAGTTTGTCTAACATGGTATCAGATGACGCGTTCGATCCGCGCCATGCTTCTGCCTCCTCTGCCGCCGTGCCGCCTCCGTCAACCCTCGCGATGGATTCGCCGTTCATGGCATCCGTACCCCTCGCCTGGGCTCGCCCGGGTGCCTCGGGGTCGCACCCGCCTGCGCCCCGATCGCCCGTGCCCCGATCGCCAGCGATCCAATCCGGCCCCGATGCATCAGGCGCTCCTGCATGGCCGGCCCGCGATGCGTCTGGAGTCCCTGCATGGCCGCCTCACGATTCGCATGGTGTAGCTGCATGGCCGCCTCGTGATCCATCTACTGCACTAGCGAATCCATCCGGCCCCAATACGTCTGGCATCTCTGCATGGCCGTCTCGCGATTCCTCTGGCACTCCTGCGCGACTGATCTACGCCGGGAATCAGCCCCCTGCTGTGTCGCCCTACATCGGGACTCAAGCGCATGTTGCGGCGCCAGCCTCCGCCCCCCCTGGTGCTCCCGTTCAGGTCCCCTACGGCGGGTCGTATCCAGCACCGTACGTTGCGCCGTCGCCGTCGCCGTACGTCGCGCCAGTGCCGTATGCTTCGTCCTCCGCGGTGCCCTACGAGGCGCCGTACGGCGCGCCCTATGCGGCCTCTGTGCCGTATGTCGCGTCGCTGCAGCCCTACGGCGTACCTCCTACGGCGTCCTATGGTCATCACCAACACTACCGTGCGCCTCCGTCGGCCGATGCGCTGATTCCGTATAGTGATCCTCCGACGCTCGACTCGCAGCTCTCCGCACCGGTGGCTGAACCAGGACCGTTCCACTTCGCTCATCTGGTGACGGTGAAGCTCTCTGCTGATAACTACCTCCTGTGGCGCGCTCAGGTGTTGCCACTGATGCGTAGTCACTACCTTGAGGGGTATGTCGATGGTACGCTGCCGTGTCCCCCGGCCATGGTTCCGGTGCCCTCGGCCGATGGTGGCTCCGTCATGGTGACCAACCCTGCTCATCGTCGGTGGATCGCTCAGGATCAGGCTATTCTGGGTGCCATTCAGTCCTCGCTCACTCCTTCCGTGGCTGGCATGGTGGTCTTTGCCGCGACGTCGAGGGATGCATGGGCCACCCTCGATTCCAGCTTCTCATCGCAGTCGCTGGCACGTTCTTCTGCCATTCGTAACCAGCTGGGTGAGGTCAAGAAAAATGATCTCTCCGTCACGACCTTCTTCAACAAGGTCAAAAGTCTGGCCGATACACGGTCATCTATTGGGAAGCCTCTTCGTGATGAGGAGTTTACTTCGTTCATTCTCAATGGGCTTGATGAGGACTATGATTCTCTTGTTGAAAACATCAACGGACGTGACACCCCGATGCCGCCTCGCGATCTCTACGCGTGCCTCCTCAACACCGAACAGCGGCTTGCTGCCCGTCGCTCCGTCGGCGTCTACATGGAGGGTCCCTCTGCGAACGCTGCTCTCCGCGGGGGTGCCCGTGGTGCCAAGCAGAAGGCGCCGCCGTCCACGGGCAACCAGCCCCGTCCTCCCGCTCCACCTCCTTCGACGGCTGGCCGCAAGCGGCTACACTGTGAGGCATGTGGGGGTGGGGTTGAGTGTTAGCTTTGTGGCATTGAGGGGCACTTGGCGTCTCGTTGTCATCGTCGCTTCAAACGTGATTTCCTTGGCATTGGGAACAATGGGAAGGGTAACAAGAAGCAAGCTGCTCTCGTTACACAGGAGCCTGGGTTCACTCCTTCGTACTCGGTGGACCCTGCATGGTATATGGACACAGGCGCCACGGACCATTTGACGAGCCAGCTTGACAAGCTGGCCACTCGCCAGGCCTACACCGGTCATGATCAGGTCCGCACTGCCAATGGATCAGGTATGCCCATCTCACATGTTGGTCAGGCATCTCTTCTTTCACGTACCACTAAAACCTTGCGTCTTCTTGATGTCCTTCGTGTTCCTTCAGTCACACGTAGTTTACTCTCGGTTCCTAAGTTAACTCGTGACAACAATGTGTTTGTTGAGTTTCACCCTTTCCATTTTTTTGTTAAGGACCGGGACACGAGGGACGTTCTACTTAGTGGTCGAGCTCGCGATGGATTATATGCGCTTGATGTGCCACGAGTCCATGCACGAGTTCCTCAAGTTTTCAGTGGTGTTCGGGTGTCATCGTCGCAGTGGCATTCTCGCCTTGGTCATCCTGCCACTCCCATTGTGCGCCATGTGCTTCATCGTCGTAGTCTTCCTGTCGAGTCGAGTAATAAGGAGTTTCTAGTGTGTGATGCCTGTCAACAAGGCAAGAGTCATCAGTTGCCTTTTTCTGTATCGAGTCGTGTTGTCAAGACTCCTCTCGAACTTGTGTTTTCAGATGTGTGGGGCTATGCCCAAACTTCTGTCAGTGGTCACAACTATTATGTCAGTTTTATCGATGCTTTCAGTCGCTTTACTTGGATTTATCTTATTAAGCGCAAATCTGATGTGTTTCATGTCTTTATGCAATTTCAAGCGCATGTTGAGCGGTTGCTTAAGCACAAAATTATCAATGTTCAATCCGACTGGGGGGGTGAATATCGTAATCTCAACACCTTCTTTCAGAAGCTTGGCATCTCACACCATGTGTCTTGTCCTCATACACATCAGCAGAACGGTGCAGCTGAGCGCAAGCACCGTCACATAGTTGAAACTGGTCTAACCCTTCTTGCACATGCCTCTGTTCCTTTTAGGTTCTGGAGCGATGCTTTTGTCACTGCTTGTTTTTTGATAAACAGGACTCCCACACGACTTCTTCGTATGAAGTCTCCTCTTGAGGTGTTGCTTCATGAAACTCCAGATTACTCCTTCCTCAAAGTGTTTGGTTGTGCGTGTTGGCCACATCTTCGTCCGTACAACAAGCATAAACTTGAGTATCGATCAAAAAAATGTGTGTTCCTTGGGTACAGTCCTCTCCACAAAGGTTACAAGTGTCTCCACATTCCAACGAATCGTGTTTACATTTCCCGTGATGTTGTGTTCGATGAGACTGTCTTTCCTTTTTCCA